TTGAAGAAGAGCTTGTACGGCCTGAAACAAGCTCCAAGACAGTGGTATAGGAAGTTTGAAAGCTTCATGCACAAGGAAGGCTTCCAGAAGTGCAATGCCAATCACTGTTGCTTCTTTAAGAAGTATGAGTCCAGCTATATCATCTTGCTACTTTATGTCGATGACATGTTAGTAGCAGGATCAGATATGAAAGACATCAGAAAATTAAAGATGCAGTTGTCAAAAGAATTTGACATGAAGGACTTAGGCCCAACAAAGAAGATTCTTGGAATGCAAATCACGAGAGATAAGCAAAAGGGAGTTTTGCAGTTATCTCAGACGGAGTACATCAACCGTGTTTTGCAAAGGTTTAACATGGATAAGGCTAAGCCAGTCAGTACACCTTTGGCCAGTCATTTTCGTCTATCTAAGGACCAGTCTCCTCAAACAAAAGAAGAAGAAGAGTTCATGGCTAAGATTCCTTATGCTTTAGCCATTGGAAGTTTGATGTACGCAATGGTCTGTACGAGGCCAGACATTGGCCATGCAGTGGGAATTGTTAGCAGGTTTATGTCAAATCCAGGAAAAGCTCATTGGGAAGCAGTCAAATGGATTTTGAGATATCTACGGGGCACAACAGAAAAATGTCTATATTTTAGAAAAGGAGATCTAAAGTTACAGGGCTACGTAGATGCAGACTTTGGAGGTGAAGTTGATAATCGAAGAAGCACCACCGGTTATGTTTTCACTGTCGGAGCTACAGCTGTTAGTTGGATGTTGCAGATACAACAGATTATTGCTCTATCCACTACAGAGGCTGAGTATGTAGCAGTGACAGAAGCCAGTAAAGAATTGATATGGCTTCAAGGATTGTTAGCAGAGTTGGGTGTCACTCAAAAAGAGAGTGTTTTGCACAGTGGCAGTCGGAGTGCAATACATCTGGCAAAGAACTCAGTGTTTCACTCCAGAACTAAGCACATTGACATACGATATCATTTCATCAGATCTCTTCTTGAGGATGAAGTGTTGACTTTGACGAAGATTGTAGGAAGCAAGAACCCAGCAGATATGCTAACAAAGGTGGTGACCATTGATAAACTGAAGTTGTGCTCAACTTCAGTTGGCTTGCTAGGATAACATACCTGAAAAGATTACTGCAGTAATTGAGGTGTGAGGACAGATTGAAATCAGTCCTCAAGTGGGAGATTGTTGAGTAAAAAGTGGCGGCTCAAAAATGGGCAGCAGCCCTCCTAATTTGACAACAGCACACAATTGAAGAAAAATGAAGCAACCTCCCAAATTGGAGGGAGCATTCACAATTAATCCACAGAAGTTGAAAATGAGCAGCCACCTTTCTTTGAAATTTGATGCATTTTGCATCTATAAATATAGGCAAATGAAGGCATCAAAAACACCAACACAAAGAAAGAAAGAGAGAGAAATAGAGTGAATAAGAAGCAAGAATTTAGCTTCTGTGTGTATTTGTGTTGTGAGTTGTGCGTGAGTTTCGAGAGTGTTTTGTAAACACGAGTGTATTTTTCTTCCCAATAAAATATCTGCAGTAGTCCGGAGACGTAGGCATTATTGGCCGAACTCCGTTATCAATTTGGCGTGTCCAATTTTATTTTTTTATTTCACTTTTATAGATCCGACTTCATGGAAAATTCAGCGTATTTTTCCCAACACATAAGTTTCTTGAAATATCTACCACTAACCCCTCTGCTCATCAGCATATTAGGTTGAGCTATGACTGTCCACAGCTGTTTAGAAATTAAAGCATCATTGAAGTCTCTCTGATTTTTAGTCCCCCACTCTCTTTAGGTTTAGTTAGAGAGTCCCAACAAGCCCAATGAATTTAATTATTTCCTCCCTCATTGTTTCCCCACCAGAACCTAGCAGCTTTCCTACAAATATCACTACAAACAGAAATAGTCACTGTAAAGCAAGACATAACATAAGTGGGGAGAACTCTTATCACTGCTTTTATGAGAATCTCCTTGCCAACTTCACTCAAGAATTTATTTTTTCTACTAGAAACCCTCTCTATCACACTCTCTAAAATGAATTTAAAAATTCATTGACCTACCAATTCCTAAGGGACTCTCAGATACTCACAAGATTTAACACTAAAGATCCCATTCAGCAAACAACAGATTTCAGTTTTAGTCCTTGCTTGAGTATTTTTAGAGATGAAAAATAGAGAACTTGTCAAGATTAACTAGCTAACCTGAGGGAGGAGCCGTACTTATCCAAAATATTCAGGACCAATTGAGCATGAAAGACATCAACTTTATAAAATAAATGGGTATCATCCGCAAAATATTCAAGCATTGTAATCTCAATAATATATTATAAAAGACATTATTATTATTATTTCTCTTGTTACCAATCAATCTTATATTGATATCTTTCATTTATGCATAATTTATTCCAGTTTTTTTTTAATCGCAATGATTAAATTGCAAGATGTAATCCCATTCAAATCCTATTTCTCTCATTTTACACTATTTCAAACAAACTATTTTAAGAAAAAACAACTTGCAAATGAAAATATGATTATGAGCAATCTCAAAATATTTCGTTGGGGCTCAAAAACTTTTTCATCTTCAAATATATAACAATATAGTACTTGCACGAAATATTATTGAGAAAATCAGATTTTTTTTCAGTAAAAAAAATAAAGAAGAAGAAAAAGTTGAATAAGTAATCCAAACAATATAAAAAATTTTAGATCTAATCCCTTTCTTGTGTTGTTTTTTATAGTATGACATCGATTTTATTTAACTAAATTATTGAATACATTTAACTTTTTTTCATTGCTTTGTAGATTTATAGGGTCTTTTTATTTTGCAAGATCTTTAAAATTTACCATCTATTTTGTTATTGTCATTAACCAACATATGCAATATCAATACTTTATTTTGTCTCATTTTGATACCAAAAATATTATGTTAAAATCGCATCATTCTATTTTCGTTGTGTTCGACAAACTAAATTTATGGATCAATAAAGATTTCCGATTTCATTAAATATAATTCTTTGATTGTCTCTTCTTTTATTTATAAATTTCTTCTTTTATTATTAATCATATTATGTTGTATCGCACTATAATGTTAATTAGTGGCAGAATGTCAATTAGTCATATGATGGAGATATTTTTCCTTATAAATTGGTTAATGATATCAAATATTAATTTAATCTTGAGATGCACACATGTTTTTTTGACTTTTTTTTAATTAGTTATATGTAAATTGGTTTCGTTTGCCCGTTGTTTAAAATACAACATTGACAATTATGCCGAACGAGTCACCGGTACATGATTCAACCGGTTTTACTGTCTATTTTACCAGTTTTCATAAATATTAAATTAATTTATTATTATGATATGAATAATGTATAAAACTATTTTAAATAAATATTAAATTTTGAATAAAATCTAATAACAATGTGAATATATTAATGCTAAGTGTAGAACTTTGTAAATAAATTAATAAAAATATAAAANAAAAATATTTTAAAAAATCTGGTATATCATGTATTTGGCTCAAATGGTATTTAGGCTATGTTTGGTAAAACCAGCTGATAAGCTAGCTTACAGCTTATCAGTAATTTTTTAGCTTATAGCTTATAGCTTATGACTTATAGCTGAAAGCTAGCTTATATGATAAAAGTGTTTGGTAAAATTAGCTGATAAGCTAGCTGAAATAAAAAATTCAACTACCTTATTTGAAAAGTTACCTAAAGTAGTTTATGAGATAAACTCGAGCTTTTTAAAAAAACTCGTCCTACCAAATGAGGCTTATTTGAATACAGGGAGCTTATAAGCTAGCCAAATAAGCTATACCAATTACAAATAAGCTAGTTGAATTTTTTATTTCAGCTAGCTTATCACCAAACACTTTTATCATATAAGATATAAGTCATAAGCTAGAAGTTATAAGCTAAAAAATTACAAATAAGCTATAAGCTAGCTTATCAGCTAGTTTTACCAAACATAACTGGACTATTGATATCCGATATTCCTAGTAATACCAGCCAATAGGATATGATATTTAAAATCAGTGTTTTAAAAGTCGCTAGGCGCCCGCTAGGCGCTCGACCAGCGCCTAGCGCCTAAGCAGGGCCTAGGCGGCGCCAAATCGGTGTCTAAAAATCAATATTAAGTGCCTTATTTTTTTATTTATTTTAACTATTTACGAAATAAAATTATCTCAACTTATAATAAATCTACACACCTAAGTCTAAATAATAATATTAATATATTTTAAAGAAAAACATGAGAACAAAATAATGTAATTAGTATTTAAAAAAATAAAAAAAAATGAAAAATTGCCGCCGTGCCCACCTAGGAGCGTCTAGGTCCGCCTATACCCGCCTAGGCGCCACCTAACCGCCTGGGCGCCGAGCCGCCAAGTCCGCCTAGCAGCGCCTAGGCCCGCCTAGCCGCTTGGCCGATTTTTTTGGCCGATTTGTGCAAATCGAAGGCGGCCGCCTAAGCCGATTTTTAGAACATTGTTTAAAATATTGAATTTACCTATAAACGCATGTCAATTTATTTATTTTGTTAGCAAGAGTTTCTGTATGATATTTAGCATTAGCATGTTGATTATTGCAAATTGTGCTATAAATTAAGTGTATTTAGGTGATGCAGATATGGTCATTTTTTATATAATTACTGCGCATTTATATTTTATACTAATTTCCGTGCAAGTATTCGATGAGTTTAACGTTGTCACTTGGAATCAGTATTTTGAATATCAAACTACTCTGTAATTGTGTGCCACGATTTTAGTCTAAGCGACCCTTCTAGGCGCTCATTGCCATAATTAATAATATGCAAAGTAAAATTTAGCATAATGATATTTAAATTAATTCCAGAAAAATTGAAAACAATAATGTGATTTGAAAATATTATGTTCATGTATACTCTAAAGTCATTTATAATTAACAGTACAATTTTAAAAGTTTTAAATAATTTAAATAAAATTTCTATATTTATATTCTAAACATTTTGATGTATATATTTTTTAATCCAATACCCGTGTAGCACACGGGTGTTGTACCAGTACATATTTATTCAACTCTAAATATAGTGACAAGCACTTTCACCAGCCTAACTCAAAAGGACCCTTCTGATCTGATGAAAAACCAATAATACTACGAACCAAGCTCCACACTGATTAAACCACACACCAATAAATGATATGGTCATGAGTTCATGACTCGTGCATAACTTCATAAATGCAAAGTTTCTCCACACTCCACAGCCCTATAACTCATAACTTTGTTCCAGTAAATCCTACAACTTTTTTACAGCAAACACACATACCCTCCTGACCCCCGGTCCAAATAGTCCCGTTAAAACAGCAAACCTTTACAGTTGAATTTGACTAAACCCTGGACTTGAAAACTGCTCATACTCACTTAACTTCCTCCTTAACATAAACTGTCTGCCAAAAACTATGCATAAACATGTCACGAATATCAAAATCAATGACAGTATCCAACAAAATTGCAGATTGGCCAAAGCCCGGGCCCGCAAGTCAGCTTCCTGGGACCCACACGCAACGGCTCCACCTATGATCCCGTTTTTGTGATCCATCATCGGCCGATCAAAGCATCCATGTGGGACAAAGCTGGGAACCCAAAGAACAAAACCCATGTTCGCAAACCAGCATCCTTGGAAAACAACAGATATCGAAAGAACTAATGCTGCTGGAAAACTGTTTGGACAAAAAGTAGAGCATAAAGCGGACAGAAAAGAGATGCATACTATGATTTGCATCAGCCAGTGGTAATGGCCTTCAAGCCCTATGTGATCAGTCGAGTGATAATGAAGCAAGAAAAGCTCCTGCCCAAAAACTGAGGCAACAAGGAGTCCAGAAACTTCTAGCATGCTCTCTGATAACTGAGTCGACTCGGTGAAAAGAGTGAAGATCGTGAATACAATAAGCTGGAGGAAAATGGTGGCGTGCTCGATGCTGTCGAGTTCGACTGCGAAGCGGAGGCTTTTGCTGTCGATTATTTGGGCCAAGATTGCGAATACGGAAAATGACAGGATGAGTATGGGTTCAAGGTGATGTAGTTTCAATAGTGGAGATTTTAATTTGTACGAAAATCTTATTGTGAATTTGTGTGGCCCGTTAAGGAAGAAGGCTTTGGTAGTGTTTATGGTGTGCCAGAGACCGAGGAAGGTAAGGGCCAGCCCTGGCAGCAGATGACCCATAAAAGTTCCCATTGAAGTTTATGTGTTCAAATTTAGGACAAGGATTATGTAAGTTGCTAGGTGAATACAACTTAAATACTTGAAACCTTTTGAGAAAAAGACGATATTAGTTGATATCTTATCAGCAGCTTGGTGCATGGTGCATGTGTTTCCACAAAGAAAGAATTATTGAGGACTTTAGGATTTAAGGAAAAGTGAACTTTAGGACACAAAATATCGTCTAAATGAAATGCAAGAGGCACTGACACTCAGAAAGCACAAACACACACACACACACACAAAGAGAGCAGATAAGGAGAATAGGAATAGAGGGGTAGATGGCCATAGCTAGAAGATTAATACAATGAAATTAGGTTACACCACTTATTTTATGTCACCAGCACGAAGTGGAGAATAATGGCCCATAGACACTGATAGGAATATAAGACAGCTCCACGAAGTCAAAAAAAATTTGAACATGAAGCTTTTGAATATTATTGGGCGAGAGTTCAAGGATACCAGGAACATTACCTTTGTCCAAATAATGCCATGTAATGAAAGAGCGTAGTCCACGGACTCCCAACCATCAAGATTGGAAATCCATATCTCTGAAAGGAAAATTTAAGTTTCTCCAGATGTTCATAAGAAGTGAATTGGCATGAAGAGAATGCAACTCGTACACTCGTGAGAGAGCACCTAAAAGTGGCGCCAATTGAGTTGAAGTCCAAGGAATTTATATGGGAAAAGGATCTTGTGGGACTTCACAGGAATTATAGACATCAAGCTCTGTAATTGTAACTGTTATTGGATGGTAGCTCGTATTGTTAAGAGCATACGTTGATCACATTGCGATACAATCCAAGAAATTGCAAGCTTTTTTCTTTTCCTCCCATTTCTTTTTCAATATTTGTTCAAAGGAAAGCAAGATTTATTTAGAATAAGCATCGCTTGATTTGAAGTGTATCTATTG